TTGCCCTCACATGGACAACAGCAATACCAAGAATATATCAATCTCTGGGCAGATAACATTACATGTATATTTCATCACAACCATCACATTTGTATACGCTTGTGGATAAATATGCCATTGACATCTCTTTAATTCAAATTGTATTCAATAGGATTATATGCCAACACAATTTATGATAAGTCAACATTTCCCCTTCTCCCATGTGTAAAAATGATCTGTCAATAAATCCTCAGTTTATGGGTTCATTTTTTAATTATTTACTTACGCTGTTTTATTCAACTAACTGCTGGTTTCTGTGGGAATATATTTGACAACAAAGCGTTAATCACATTTTCACCGTGATATATTCAGGCACTGCAGCCATTTTCTTGAAAGCACGGAGCAGCAGGAGGTTGGATACTCGAGTCAGTTTCAATGAAAAAAGAATGTTTTATTGACAAGCGTTAAACCTCTTATATTAAAACACATTAGAGAGATCTAGTAAAAAAATCAACAAACGTGTAATTAAACTAATTATTTGGTGATATGGCATTGGCAGTAGTGTGTACAAACACAGCTAGCACGAAAAAAAAACAACGCAATTGTCAATAACACTGCCCTAAATACGAAAAATATATAGTTGGTGACTTTTCTGGAATACGAATAATTAAACATATAAATAACATCAGAAGATATTTTCCTTAGATATTATCGAGAAACAAAGGCATAAATATACGTGAGGAAAGCAATAACTATATTACATTTTCTGACATTGTCATTATAATGTCCGATGGGAATGGACTACAGGAAATGTCAGACGAACTTAATGAAGAAGGCTGGAAAGTTTATCTCGATATAAATACGAGCAATACAGAATTCGCATTCAGCAAGCTCGCTTAACGATCAGAGATATCTGTCAGAGGAATACAACTAGAAAACACAGCACAGCATGTGTATATAGGGCAGTTATTTAAGTCAGACAGAGATCAAAGTGATGAAAGCAAAGGCGAATGAGAGTGGATTGTTTTACTTTTAGAAGTCTAATCTTGATAATAAAAAGCAACATAACCAATGTGTCTAAAGAAGAACGTCTTTAGTAGGCGTTTACTACCTGATATGACATATGGACCAGATACATGGACACCGACGGAGAGGTTGGAGAAAAAGCTTAGACATGCACATAGATGCATGCAGTGATGCATACTTGGGAATTACACTGAAAGACAGACAGATGAACATATGGAAATACACCGTTTAAAGACAACCATTTTACTCTATGGGAACCTCATTTGCCAGTAAAAATATGATAATTGTTTTTTTTTACCCTTCTATCTGGCAACAAAACTGACACCTTTTTACAAGGAGTCATGTTTGCATAGACCGCAATACCTGCAGTCATAAATACAAACAAAAGACATAACTCTGATAATGTGATAAGGACAGATAAGGACAGTGCACATTATCAGAGTTATGTCTTTTGTTTGTATTTATGACTGCAGGTATTGTGGTCTATGCAAACATGACTCCTTGTAAAAAGGTGTCAGTTTTGTTGCCAGATAGAAGGGTAAAAAAAAAACAATTATCAACCATTTTACTGTTAAAGAAAAGTAAATGAGATTGGGCTGGACACGCTGCTAGGAGGCCTTCCCACGCCACCTGTTGTTTGACCATACTTCACCATGCAGGTAGTGTAAGTCAGTGAAGGGGGGATGCCAGGTATGGTTCAGATATTGTTTGCCACTGATGTAAAGTATGGCGAGGAATCAAACATTGGTTCTCATTGCGGTATTGGAACCACTGTGCCACCGCTCCTCTTATTGTTAATATTTATGCTGTCAAGACAGTATACATATAATGATACAATCCATACTAAAGGTTTCATGGGTTAGATCGCGTAAATATGAATTTGTCATTAAACCCACCACCACCCGACACAGCCAATTAGTAAGGTTTCACTGGTGATTACAACCAGCTTCAACAGCCAATAGCCAGAATTGTGAAGAAGTCCTCGTGTTTCAATCTTAAATAGGGGAGTCTTAAATAGCAAAACATCGAACTCGAATTGTATATGGTGTGGGTTTACTCTCCAACATTCTGGTGTGCTAAAGTAGTAACTAATTGGCACGTTTTGTTCACGTGGAATGCCTTGCTAATTGACTGTGCTGGGTGGTGACAGGTTGAATAAAACAGATTTATATTTATGCGATCCAAACCAAAAAAACCTCCGGTATGGATATTGATTGCAAAAGTCTACGCGTTATAATGATGTAAGTATCACCAAGGTTTACCAAAATGTTATCCAGTCAGAAATATTAATACATTAAATTTCGATTTAAAGCTTTCGTGACTGCAGGGATTCATCTTCTTGGTTCTTTCGGTAAAGTCACGTAGAAGAAAAAAAAAACATCATAAAATACAATTCTCACGACGTTTCGGCCACAACGCAAGCAGCCGTCCTTAGGTGAAAAACAGGTCTGTCGGAAAGACAGCAGACGCTGTCTTTCCGACAGACCCCTTCTATGTGACTTTACCTAAAGAACCAAGAAGATGAACACATTACTCTAAAATACAGCTAAATGCATATTTATGCATTGAATATAACACATAACCCCTAATTACTCCTCAAAGTTTTCCTCTGATACTGGGAATACGTTTTTCTCCTTTAATCTGGCAACAAAACAGGTGGTAAGTTAGTACAACACCAAGCTGAAACCTTTTACAAGGAATCATGTCTGCATTAACCACAATACTTGTGCTCAAAATAGAAACAAAAAACATACTCTGATAATATATGCATTGTCTTTGAAACTGATTGGTCCACACCAAAGACAGCTTTCATTTGAGCCTCGTCTCAAACGGTGTTAGACCAGAGGACGCTAAAAGGCGTACAGCACAAAGACACTGCACTATCGGAGTAATGAGAGCTCGGGGTGAGCATCTACATCATGGGACCTCCTTTGCCAGTACCAAAATATGAGAATACGTTTTTCCCCTTTCATCTGGCAACAAAAAAGGTGTTTGGTCAAAATAAATTAAAAAAGGTGTGTGGTCAAAATAAATGAAAAATAAAAAAGCATACAAAGACAATGCATGTTTGTATTTTGACCACAAGTTTGTGCTTAATGCAGATATGATTCCTTGTAAAAGGTTACAGTTTGGTGTTTTAACAACTTAACACCTAATCTTTATTTGAAGCTTTCGTGACTGCAGGAATCTATACTCTTTGGTTCTTTCGGTAAAGTCACGTAGGTAGAAAATAATAGATCACGACGTTTCGATCGCAACACAAGCAACCATCATCAGGTGAGACAATCACAGCAGGGAAAGCGTGCTTCAACAACTTAACACCTGTTTTGTTGCCAGATGAAAGGGGAAAAACTTATTCTCGTATTTTGGTACTGGCAAAAGAGGTCCTCTGATACTTTTATTGCCTTCGCTCCTGGCAATAAAACCAATCCAATAAAACGAATCTGTTTGACAAGACTGCACTCAATGTCAGTGCAATAATTAATTACATCCTGTCAGTTTGTTATAAGGTTTCATTCAGCAAACTTATTTTTTGTTTTCTTTTACACAGTTAGGCACTGCTGTACACAATGAATGTAGTGTTTTTGTGCTGATATCTTTATATTGAACACCATCTACTTTTAAACGGAGCTGGGATACTGACTGCCCAGAGTGGAGCTCAAAATAAACTGGGCAGCTAATCGAGCACGGTTTCATAAAAGTGTTCTTCTCTACAGAGTCCCTGCATTATTATCAAGCCAACAGAGTAGGGATATTTTTACGTGGAATTTTATAAGTGCAGTTATAGAAGGTTAAAGGTGCAGCTCTGCAATTGATTTTGCTCTCGTCACTGTTGGTGGAAGGGGCCTTCACCCAGATGGAGCTCTAGAAAGCCTCTGTAGGGCATATTTGACCTGCAGTTCCATGCTGGGCTGACCTTTTTGCAAGAGGTGGGAGTAGCCACATTTTATTGCGTGACAAAGGAACTGTCGAATTGCTAACACTACAGTACTTGTTGGGTGGACAGAAGCGAAGAGATATGAGAAGATTGCCTATTGTTTCAGCTGCTGTACCGGGGAGATCAAATTGAACTGGCGACCTCTGAATTGCAAGTCCATGTATTTGTAATCTACGTATATGTATCACCCATGTAACAATTATTGCTGCTCGATGTTTGTTTCAACCACTATTACCTCTGCTATAAATATAAATTTCTAATATGCCCCTGTTTATGTACAATACATGATAATGTAAGCTATTTGTAAATCTACTGCTGGATGAATGCCGTCCCATATCATGGGGGGAACAAACTCATCAAATTCAGTCTGCTGGGTTCACAGTGCAGTGCTCTACCGACTGTGTTTCTACATAAATACTACATATTTATTTTATTTTAACTTTTATTTGTATTGCACTAGGTCAGTTATATAGCTCTTTTTCAGACGCGACCTGGCTCCAAATGATAGTTCAACAAAGTGGCTTATCACGTGGAAATTTATAGCAGCCAAATACTCTAAACGCACGTTTCTAAATGTGGAGGGAAAAACCGGAGGAACAGGATAAAAATCTACACGACCACGGGGTATAATATGCAAACTCCAACTATATAGGCGTCAGGGTCGGAATCGAACCCACAACCTCCCGTATACCAGGCGAGGAAGTTAACATCTCACCACCATGGCACCCCTCTTAAATTTAAAATTTGTACGTACGAGGAGCAATTCAGATACAGATAAAGCTCCTCACAACAATTTTTTAATATTCATAAAGTGTAGTTACACCCAAATCAATGTATATTTCTATGTTATGCTGTGTTATTTTCCATTGATATAACAAAGGCTTTCACGTATATTATGAGACGTGATATATTTTGCATCGCTAAATGGGTTACATCACTGCATGCAATTGCTTTCACTTCATTACCCATCTCGTGGGACCTTTAATCTCTGGTCATTGGAAGGATAATCATCCCAGCACCCCCTCTGATGGTACAATCGGTTGTTGTCATACTGCAGATCCTGCTCAGAGGAAAAGGAGTTGGCATGCCATTCTTGCACTTAAACTGGAAACTCCAAGGCCGGGCTGTAACAAGCAAAGGTCTGAGATTTCACTTAACTACAAAAAGGAACACAGTTACTATAAGGGGTACAATACGCCACAAAATTTCCCTTTATGATTTGTTTTCCTCTCCGGGACCTTCATTGAGAGAATGTTATAAGAAGCTGCTCTAAACGGAAATCAACAAAGCATGCGATGTCTCAATCTTAATACACTAAGCTGGGCTGTTGCACAACACTTTTCGTAACTCCATTTTCAATAAAAAATTATTTTCTTTATTAAGAGCCTGGTGTTATCCAAAATGCAATATGGCAAGGAAACTGTAAGTAACTATTTATACCACCAAGAGAATAATATGAAGCGAAAGTTGTATTTTCTTTTTGTGAGTTACTCTTCAGGCCCCCCATTCAAATCATTATACCGGCAACCCTGTTTGCAAATAATGGCACAGTTTATCGAAAACCAACCTTAGAATAGATGCCACACTTTGGGAATGGGTTTTAACAATAATGATGATAACTCCAGGGTTTGAACAGGTGTGCCTGTGCAAATGAGTGCAGCAACACCAGCTGTGATGCCCTCAAAATAATGAAGCCACCAGTTATGTTCACGTGGAATATGAAGCTGCAGTGGCACAGTTTCCTGGCGCACTATGAACCAGGCAACCTGAATTTGATCCTCAGCCATAGAAAACGTCAGCGCAGAGTGATATCTGAACTGGTCCCCCCCCCCCCTCCCCATATCACCAACCCACTTTGACAAGCGTGGTGATGTATGCTATAAAAAAAATTATAATGACCAACATGACACGAGGAGGTCTTCAGCCAGCTGCAGTGGATTGACCTGTGGGCTGTACATACCTTTAGTTATTCTTGGTTCTTTCGGTAAAGTCACGTAGAATTGAAATAATAAATAATAAAAATGAAACATAATAAAATAATTCTCACGACGTTTCGGCCACAACGCAAGTAGCCGTCCTCAGGTGGAGAACAGGTCTGTCGAGGAGACAGACTCTGTCTCTGTCTCCTCGACAGACCTGTTCTCCACCTGAGGACGGTTACTCGACAGACCTGTTCTCCACCTGAGGACGGCTACTTGCGTTGTGGCCGAAACGTCGTGAGAATTATTTTATTATGTTTTATTTTTATCATTTTATTATTTCAATTCTACGTGACTTTACCGAAAGAACCAAGAAGATGAATCCCTGCAGTCACGAAAGCTTTAAATCGAAATGTATACCTTTAGTTATTATGTCATCCTGCAGTAGATTGTTTTTTACATTTTGATCTACATTTCCCTCATATTTGTACTTGTTTTCAAACTTTAAAATACAAATATCAGCACTGTGATAAACCTGTCTTCATCTATAAACGACACAGGTGTGAGCATCACAACACTCTCATTGCACGTACAGCACACGGAAGAATGAATTATGTTGAATACAATTTACTTCTTTTTTCAGAATGTAAATTAGGTTATAGATAATTTTAAAAAATAAGTACCAACAGACTGTAAAATTAGAGGATTAAAGTCCACAAATAACTTTCACAAATAATAGGTGCTATATCTAGAGGTCTAGAGTGCTTCCTACTGAGGAAATGGTTCAGTGCCTTAAAACTCCATGTTGTGTGCTGTGATAATGTCCTGCTGGCACTGTGTCAAAAAGCACATTCGGAAGATGCAAGCAATATTATTGCAATTACTGAGAACGCTAAAGATCCACTTCTAATATTTCTTCCTGGGTTTGGAACTATGTAGCAAGGCATTCGATTTTGTGCGACTATGTCAAAAAGGTGGACTACAGTATGCATAATTTTAATCTTTGAAAGATAACGTTTATTTTGAAAGATCAGTAAAAAAATAAGAACAATAAATCCAGCGTGTGTGATGTACTACTGCGTTGACAAAATATTTTCTGGGAGTCCTGCACACAAGCAGATCACAGCATCAAGCATGCATGGGGTCATGACCCTGGATTGGAATGATACATACATAAAGAGGTTTTCTGCAACAGTGCATTAGCACCAAGACAAAACATTTTCATCAGTGCAAGAGTGAATAATGTAAATGAAGATATGCAGCAGTAGCCATTATTCCAGAACACATGCACCATACGTTATAGAGAATGATTTAACAACTCTTCCTATATTTTAGAAGCTCGTGGTTATTGATTTATTCATTTCGTTTGTTATTTTCCAGAACTTTAATTGCCAGTGAGTTATCGGCATCGTGTCAGGAGATGAAGTATCCTTGCGGAACTTGCAAAGCAGTGTATCACCTCGTGTATTTGAGAACGACCAGCAGAAGCGAATATGATTTCTGAGACCCCTTTCAAATGACTTTTTTTTTGTCCACACACTGTAGAGTGCACTTGGCCGCATGTCTCACTACAGACAAATTCTCATCCTGGCGCAATCACACCAATATCTGATCATTCTCAGAGCTGGAATTTAGCTGGGTATAAGTATAACCTGTTAAAACAAAGTTTTTCACTCTAAATCCTTTATATGCGTGGCGGCTAGAGTCCTCTCGTCCTCTGGCTTGAGATGGCTGCCACATATTGGTCAGATGATTGTCTGCAGTATTAAACAATTGGTAATTAAATATTTAATTTGTTTTCCCTAAACAGTGTAAAATTTTGGAATTTTTTTTTCACGAACAATAATTGTCTGGCACAACGAGTCTGTGTGGAAAATGTCAGCTCGATTGGATCACGGGAAGTGGGTTAAAAACGACCGAAAGATTTGCACGGTCCTAAGCAAGCAAGCAAGCACGCGAACTTAATATAAAGGATTTAAAAATAGTTGTTGGTGCTGTCATTGATACCTCGGTTGAGACCGTTAACTCACAACCCCTGGGTAGTTACCTGGATTCAAACCTATGATCTCAGCAGAGCTGGTTCAGTGGTCTGACTCCTCTCACCCGTATACAAAAAAAAATCGCATAGATGCTATAATTGTGATGCACTTTTTCCCCTGGATTGAAAGCAAAAGTTGGGGGTGCATCTTAAAATACAGTAGGTGTGTGTGTATGTATATATGACAATATTTGTATAACTTTAATTTGGAGTGAATCTTACTTTCAGGGGAATCTTGTTATGTGGAGATTGTGACATGTAATAATGGTGGAATTGAACACTGTAGGTAATATCACCTATATGAATGCTCATGATTTTCTTAGCAGCTGATGTGGTCAATACCAGTCGTGAGATATATCCTTATGCTGCGCGAAATGTTTACAAAAACGGAGCAATACAGTGAGGGAAAAAAATATTTGATCCCCTGCTGATTTTGTACGTTTGCCCACTGACAAAGAAATTATCAGTCTATAATTTTAATGGTAGGTTTATTTGAACAGTGAGAGACAGAATAACAACAAAAAAATCCAGAAAAACGCATGTCAAAAATGTTATAAATTGATTTGCATTTTAATGAGGGAAATAAGTATTTGATCCCTCTGCAAAACATGACTTAGTACTTCGTGGCAAAACCCTTGTTGGCAATCACGGAGGTCAAACGTTTCTTGTAGTTGGCCACCAGGTTTGCACACATCTCAGGAGGGATTTTGTCCCACTCCTCTTTGCAGATCTTCTCCAAGTCATTAAGGTTTCGAGGCTGACGTTTGGCAACTCGAACCTTCAGCTCCCTCCACAGATGTTCTATGGGATTAAGGTCTGGAGACTGGCTAGGCCACTCCAGGACCTTAATGTGCTTATTCTTGAGCCACTCCTTTGTTGCCTTGGCCGTGTGTTTTGGGTCATTGTCATGCGGTAATACCCATCCACGACACATTTCCAATGCCCTGGCTGAGGGAAGGAGGTTCTCACCCAAGATTGGATGGTACATTGCCCCGTCCATCGTCCCTTTAATGCGGTGAAGTTATCCTGTCCCCTTAGCAGAAAAACACCCCCAAAGCATAATGTTTCCACCTCCATGTTTGACGGTGGAGATGGTGTTCTTGGGGTCATAGGCAACATTCCTCCTCCTCCAAACACGGCGACTTGAGTTGATGCCAAAGAGCTCCATTTTGGTCTCATCTGACCACAACACTTTCACCCAGTTGTCCTCTGAATCATTCAGATGTTCATTGGCAAACTTCAGACGGGCATGTATATGTGCTTTCTTGAGCAGGGGGGCCTTGCGGGCGCTGCAGGATTTCAGTCCTTCACGGCGTAGTGTGTTACCAACTGTTTTCTTGGTGACTATGGTCCCAGCTGCCTTGAGATCATTAACAAGATCCTCCCATGTAGTTCTGGGCTGATTCCTCACCGTTCTCATGATCATTGCAACTCAGCGAGGTGAGATCTTGCATGGAGCCCTAGGCCGAGGGAGATTGACAGTTCTTTTGTGTTTCTTCCATTTGCGAATAATCGCACCAACTGTTGTCACCTTCTCACCAAGCTGTTTGGCGATGGTCTTGTAGCCCATTCCAGCCTTGTGTAGATCTACAATCTTGTCCCTGACATCCTTGGAAAGCTCTTTGGTCTTGGCCATGGTGGAGAGTTTGGAATCTGATTGATTGATTGTTTATGTGAACAGGTGTATTTTATACAGGTAACAAGCTGAGATTAGGAGCACTCCCTTTAAGAGTGTGCTCCTAATCTCAGCTCGTTACCTGTATAAAAGACACCTGAGAGCCAGAAATCTTTCTGATTGAGAGGGGGTCAAATACGAATGTCCCTCATTAAAATGCACATCAATTTATAACATTTTTGACATGCGTTTTTCTGGATTTTGTTGTTGTTATTCTGTCTCTCACTGTTCAAATAAACCTACCATTAAAATTATAGACTGATCATTTCTTTGTCAGTGGGCAAACGTACAAAATCAGCAGGGAATCAAATACTTTTTTCCCTCACTGTATATAACCTTTTTCTAGACAGTGGTTTTTGCACAATAGCACATAATCCCTGATTATCCCAAGGAAAATGGTTGCTCTGCCAAACTAGAATGAATGTATTGTTCAATTAACTGCAGCCATTAACAGCCTATTACAAAAAAACAATTGGACTGTATTAAATGTACACACACACAAATACCCCTATATAAATATATATTGCGTACCGTAATCTGAAATGTCATTTAAAGATAATTATGTAAAAATAGATGGCTGTACAACTGACAGGAATAGTATCGGTTGGAGAATATTGTGCCGGTCCAAACACAACGTGCCATGTATTTGTCAACAACATTGGTGGCCAAGCTTAATATGTAAGATTGTGTGAGAATAAAAAACAAATCGGACTTAAAAGTTGCCCTGCAGTGTCAGAGTTTGGGATGCAATAGTCTGGGAATTCTAAACATAGCGGGAACATTGGCTGTCGGTAGAGAAGGGCGCTAAATGGGCACACAGCTGATACATATACCGTTTGGCAAACGTGATTTTACTACCATAAGGCAAAGCTGTAATATGTGTAGAATCGCTGAAACAAGCACAGTTGGACTCAATGCTTTATGCAACACGTGTTAAAATGTTTTATTTCTCTTCAAAAGCTACTGGTGTTTTTTTCTTGATTACTCATGGGTAAAATTGATCATTCTTATTTTATTCACATTCTCTTAAACCCCTTAACTAAAGTTATTTATATTGCCTTTTCAATACCTGCTCAAAGCTTTATGTGGATAGGCTCTGCATATCAAATATGTATAAATCACATATTTTTGGGTCTTTCGGTAAAGTTATGTAGATAGAGTTCGATTTAAAGCTTTCGTGACTGAAGGGATTAATATTCTTGATTATTTCGGTAAAGTCACGTAGAAGGGAAATAATAAAATAATAAAAATAAAACAGAACGTTTTGGCCACAACGCAAGCAGCCGTCCTCAGGTGAAGAACAGAACTGTTGGAAAGACATGACTTTACCGAAAGAACCAAGAATATCATGTAGATAGGTTCAAAGAAAATAACAAAAAATAACAAGGACAACGGCGTTTCGATAGCAACACAAGCGGTCTTCTTCAGGAAAACGTGGGCATAGCCCAAATGTCAGCAGCCAATGACAATGTAAGTGGTGGGCAGCCAACCCGATGGTAGTTGGTTTTCCACCAATCACAGGGCTGCCAGGTGAAAATTAGCATGTTAAAGAGAGATTAACATGTTAATGGGAGATCTCAGAGCAGCAACCAAGGGGTCGGCACGCAAAATGACTGTGCTAGTGTAAACCGAGTGAAAGCGCAAGTTTGAAATGGGAGTAAAGCACAACTAATATTGGAAGGTATGGGAACATCATATCCAATTATGACTTAAACTGGTTGATAACGTCCTTCCAATGATTGCTCAGTTTGTACCTATCTTCTCGGTTGAAATTATGTCTGTGTCTATAAATATGTATGGCTTCATGAATGAATCTTTGTTGATAGCCAGTGGGCTTGCAAAATACCTTCGTCTTAGAGAAATCAATTTCGTGTGAGCCCACCGCATTTCAGATCTGCCTTATGTTCATGAACACGGTCCGAGAAATGTCGCTAAGTTTCCCCAATGTAAGTACTGCCGCAGACACAACTTAGTTTGTAGACACCGGGGTATTGCATGTCAGGGTACACATCCTTCACAGATGGGATCAGATCACGAATTTTATGTACTGTGTTAAATCGAACCTGGATCTTGTGTTTGCTCATGATTTTGGAAATCTTTTTAGTGACCCCTGCTATGTATGGCAAGGTGATGGTTTTGATTGGGTCCTCAGATGGTTCTTTCCCAACAGTTGGGGTGATAGCTTTACAGATTGTGTAGTTTGAATATTCATTAATTTTTAGAGCGTGGTGTACGTGTTCCAGTTCACTGGCTAGGTGATGACGGTCAGAAATACATCGAGCTCTATGGTGTAGAGTTGATGAGGGAATTCTTCTGGGATGGATGGTGGTGGGAGTCAGGTTTTAGATAGGCATCGGTATGGGTGGCTTTCCTTTAGACAGAGTGTCCCATTGAGCCATCTGGTCTCTTTTCAATTAAAACATCCAAGAATGGTAACTTGCCATCCTTTTCCAAATCCATGGTGAATTTGATGGCTGGGTGTATGGAATTTATGTGGTTGAGGAATTGGTTCAGAGCTGGTCGGCTATGTGGCCCGATGACGAACGTGTCATCTACATAACTCTTCCACAAGGACGGATGTAGAGTGGATGCCTGGATGGCATCTGTCTCAAAATTTTCCATGAAAACATTGGCTACAACTGGAGATAAGGGAGAACCCATTGGGGTACCTTCAACTTGTTTGTAGAATGTTCTATTCCAGGTGAAGTAAGTGTTTGGTGAGGCAGTGTCTCACTAGGGCCGGTACATCAGCAATCAGTCCTTGTTGGACAACATCTTCAACGATTGCAATGGTGTCAAGCACTGGAACTTTGGCAAACAAAGAGACCACATTGAAACTAATGAGCAAATCACCTGGAGATAGTCAGATGTCCTTAATTAACGATACCAAATGAGCTGAGTTGAGTACAACTGAAGTGGTCTTACCAGTGAATGGTTGTAAGGTCTCAGACAGAAATCGGGCCAGTTTGTAGGTGGGTGAGTCAATGGTGGAGACGATAGGACGAAGGGGTGTCCCTTCTTCATGGATTTTTGGTAAGCCATACAATTTGGGTGGTCTAGCAGCAGAGAGTATTAAGGAAAACCGCTTGGTTGGTTTGATCAAAGATGTCAAATCAGTGATGATATTGTTGGTTTTCGTAACGATGCGGTTGGTGGGATCTCGGTTAATTTTGGTATAGCTACAATCATTAAGTATGTCCTGAATTGTGTTATTGTATGTAGTTTTGTCCATGATGACTGTGGCATTGCCCTTTTCGGCTGAGAGGATGACAATGCCATCCCTCTTTTTTTATTGAGAAAGCTCAAAGCGTTAATCTTTACTGATGTTGCTAATAGGTGTCTTAGCGTTTTTGAGTATTGCAGCGATTTCTGATCTTGCCACGTCTGCAGTAATGTGTCCCAAACCCTTAAGGGCTATGTCGACCTGGGTAATGATATCATTAACTGGGATGTGTTTAGGGGTGACTGCAAAATTCAACCCTTTGGCTAGAACCGATTTTAGGCTGTCTGAAATTGGATTGTTACTCTGATTGATAACAATCTTGTCAATGTCTGATTGGTGGAAAACCAACCACCATGGAAAACCAACAACCATTGGGTTGTTTGCCCACCACTTACATTTTCATTGGCTTCTGACATTTGGGCTACGCCATTTCAAACCCTTATAAACAGTTACTTTGAACCTATCTACGTGACTTTACCGAAAGACCCAAGAATATGAATTCCTGCAGCAAGGAAAGCTTTAAGTCCAGATATAAATAACATATTTAGATGTGTTGCTAAATATATGGTTAAATATGTATACTTGCCCAGCCATTTGCATGCGATATAGCTTTAGCATTCCTTTGCCCGCGTGCATGTTGTTAAGTGCAATGACGTAATCACTTGCATCACACAGCCCTATAGGGTGACATCACCACAGGGAAGCCACAGGCGTTGTTTAAGGGATAATGACGTAAAGCGGACATGTTCTACATGTAATTCAATGGAGCAAACCGTCCTTCTGGACGATTCTTCACTCCTTCGGAAGTGTTTGGTTCTCATTGGTTTGTATTCAACATTATTCAGCTTAGAAACATCGGTGGGAAAATGTTGTGAATTTAGAGAGGCAGCATTTTTGCAGAAATGTCCTCACCAAAAGATGTTTTATTCAATGTAATGTTTCAGAAACACACAGCGTGATAGACAGTCACTTGTTCTTTATATATATAACTACAATATACATGCCAGGACACAATTCTATGCGAATGAAACGTGCACAACCATGTACGTGAAGTTATTTAATGTAATGTGTTAAGTTAAATACATTGGGTGTTACATTTGAGTCCTGAAGTCTTGCTAGACTGTGCCAATGGCGTCATGGCATCTTCTTAATCAGAATCCGGATCTTTATTTAGACTGAAGGAATCTGACGGGCCATGCCGATCTTTTTCACAGATGTGCAGGAGAAGGACCTGGATCAGGAAGTGCATTCACTCGAGATCTGAGCTCCTGTTGACAACCTGAGGATGCTGGATGTAATCTCCAGTGAAACGTAATCACCTGTTAAATATTGTGAGATTCCTCTCCAACAACAACACCGTTGGTGTTGATGAAGCAGTAATAAGTTTGGCCACATTTGATTTCCGTGACACTTTTATTAATTGGCTGTGTCGGGTGGAGGAGGATTTACGACACATTTCTTACACAATGACTGATCTAAATAAAACAAGTATTTAAACTAATATTGGTCCTGGAAGCCTGCGTATTAAATACATATAGAATAGTTAATGATTAGAATAGTTCTCATCCAAGAATATACACAAGGCTGTGTAAAAACTTGATCGAGGTTGTTTGATCTGTGATTGGTTCCGAATTATGCACCACATCACTGCAGTGGTTAAGCGCCAGCAAACCAAGCAAACAATGTCGACAACAGTGGAGACACTTCACTTGTTATTTATTATTAACAACAACAACAACACCGTTGTAAAACTTTGTGATGTTAGAAAACTCTTTCCATGACTCCCATCGCAGCATCTATCTGGGTGTGTCCACCACCATATTTCCAGGGCACTCACACGACTCTCCAATATCTCCCTCTTCACACGCCCTGACCCCACTTCTCTGTTTTCCTCCGACAGAGCTTGTCAAGCACTTTTAAGATTATTTCTTCCGAGCGACAGTGTATCCAGTGTGCAGTGCTGAACACCAAATACTCGCACCGCCATCATCAACCATGATCTATTCACTGCTGGATGAAGGCCTCCAAAAGCTGTTGCCGTCTTGCGATACATATATCTGTTTACCTCCTACACACATGCTGATTTAATCGCTCCATCGTTGCTGTTGATATCCTCTCGGGCGTGTTCCCCCCTTTGTTTAAGCAATCATACAAATTATACTAATTATAATATTGGTCTGGAAAGCCAACGGGCTGATGCACTAAATCATATTGTTATATATATATAAATGTGGAAACAGAACATATGCGTTTACCCATAACGCTTCATGGCAATGCATAGTGAGCTGATATTGTGTGTTGCATTTATCAGGACCCTATTATAGTTTAAATTGAGAGTTTTTGCCAATAACCTATGGTAGTCCAGCAGCATTTGCTTAAGAAGCTTGAATGCTAATGAGAACCAACCCATTCCAGAGATTGCTTGCTTTAAAAATGTTTCTTTATAATATTGGTCTGGATAAATGACGTCTGATTTATACACATAAATTAGTTATGTTTGTATATGCTTATAGTCCCTGATTAATCCTATGCTTCCATCATTACATATTCATTGCCATTAATTATTCCCGGAAACACAAATTTCTCGAGTCTCACTATCTCGTTTGTCCGACCCCAAATCATACACTTGTGTTGGTGAATCTGAACACCACATCGCCATAAAAAAATAACTAGAAAACAAGTAGCGGTGACAAGTTAAAATGTATCGTTTACATTTTGTATCAAGATAAAGGTGCAATCTCACAATTACTTGATGATGCCACTGCTGGCAGAAGGACATCCACTGGAGGAAACTCTAAAGAGCCCCTCTAGAGGTTATTTCGCCTACTCTTCTACACTGTTACCCGATGTCTTGGAATATGTGGGAGTACCCACACTTTACCCCACCAAATATGACGTGCCGATCCACTAACTGTGGCCCATATGCCACTGTTTGTTGAACAGAGGCTGGGGGGATTTCAGAGACTCGTCCAATAGTTTCAACTGCCGCACCGGGAGATCGAATTAAACCGGTCAACTCTGGATTGCAAGTCCAATGTGCTGACCATCATAACCATCACACCACAGCAAGATCCCCGATAGTTTGGATATCTATTTTAGATGTTTGAGAAGGATATACTGTAGCCACGTGCCTTCGTGTTTTAAGATCCGACGTGTTAGATATCGGAGCCACGTAAAGTGTAAAATGCTATTTTATAGGGATTAAATTTCAAGAGTCAAGTCGGTCTAACAAAAGTGAAACATTCTGTTATTGTAAGCATTCGATAAGAGTCTCCATGGTATATATCAGGGGTCGGCAACCTACGGCTCCGGAGCCGCATGCGGCTCTTAATGGGCTGCTTCTTCACGATGAGTACGTATGTACAGTATGTACTCAGATGCATTGCGGCTCTTGAAATACTGAATTTTGTACCGAATTGGAAAGAAATGGCTCTTCTTGTTATTTTGGTTGCCGACCCCTGGTATATATCTTACTCGATATCATTGAAATCCACTTGCAATTTAGAATTAACTTCTTAAACAGTAAACACGGGAGTACAATCGTGTAAATGTATCTCCCAATGAGTCGAATTGAGTCAACAAATTTGAGTACAAAAATAAAATAATCGGTGGCCACGTGTCGAACCTTGGGGAGAAAGTCCTAAAAGTCGTAAAAGAAAATCTCTCCAAATAATTTGGGGACCAGCCCACTTTCTCTGCTGCTAAAAACACAGATTTATCACCTTGAAACTAAGATGTCATACCATGTGGAATGCTTTAGGTCATAAAAAAACATCTGTACACTGTTTTTTGTATTTAATTAACCATGAATGTCATAAAACATGTTTGGCTGTTAGTTTGATGCCACATTCTAAACCCGGATTCTTTTAAATTGAAAATTTGATTTGCCTTGAAATGACACTTGTTTTTTGTTGCTGTGTTTATTTTTAGTAGATTGCAAATAACGTACATATTTAATATCAGCCTAAAGTTATATTTTTTACGTGACCACCTTCATGTACAGGCTGCACATACCAAAATTCCAGTTCTTGGGCAATACATTTGATTAAACGGGGAGATTTAAAATGTGTATAATTGGACCTGCAAATGAGCTTGAGGCTAACTTAAAAAATAATAGTGGGATGCCATCAGGACCAGCTAATTAGGGGAATTTAATGAGGCAAGCGTATTTTATACTTCTTGATGACTGAAAGACTTAACGAAAATGGGAACTGGCAATTAATATGAAATCGGTTCATTGTGACTTGGCACAATGAGGGCTATGCAAGTTGGGCTGTTATAAAAAAAAAAAACATTCCCAGCTAATAGAACTGACAAATTCAGGCATTAAATGCAGTTTTTTTTGATCGACGATATCATAAATGTATAACAAAAGCCCACCCAGAAGTGAACTTTGCAAATTGTTATTTTGATTATAACCTTTTGGATCATCTTTCCTAATAATTATCAGTTTCCACCCTAAATTAAATACGTTTGACAGATATAATTATATCTGTACGTTTCTAAATCTGATTGTTTATGCGGATTGCAGAGGGGTTTCAACTGACTGTGGAGATATATTTTTGCCAGCTAGAACACAGGCTTAATTTCTCAGATGGATCAATTACCTAAAAGATGAGTAAACCAAGGAATATTCCCATCCTTTATTGTCTGTTTGTATGGGTGCATGTATATGAACAATTACAGGTGTAAGGATGCATGCATTTATCGACTGGAATAGATTTTTATACTCACAACACATGCATCAAATCATGTGTGTAAGAATCAATAGTTTTTCCTTATATGTAATGGGGTCATGTAACCCCTGTTGCCACAAGAGGTCACTACATTCACCACAATAAACAAGGAATCGTTTCTTTAATAAATCGCGACATCAAATCGTGATAATTCATCGAATCACTGAGAGGGGTGAATCACTGCAGGCCTATTAATAACGCTTACTAATGAGCTGTTACAAAGAGAGCAGACAAGATCCATATCTAGACTCTCTCAAACCTTTGGCCAAATTGTGCTTTCAAGAAACTTTACTTGATCATATTTATGAGGGAGGTTAAAGGCATTTGGAGGATATAATGAAAGCCACCGTGTAACGATTGTTCACGTTGTTTCATAAAATACCCACGTATGATATTGTAAGTGGACAGGAAATAAGTAGTGTGTCAAATTATATTAGGAAGTTTATTCACATTTAGGCAGGTTGGTTTGGCTATCAGTTGGGTTCGTGGTAACATAGGTATTTGGCAATGGAACCCGTTTTTTATGTCCACTGAAATATGTTGTTTAACCTACAAAAATGGTTAACTTTCACTTAGATACTGTAAAATAAAAAAAATATAAACGCATGAATATCTTCAGTCAATGTTTGACTTTTTTTTAATACCCGATGCACAATTGCAAAAATAAATGCTAGTTGTGCAATGATTGCAATACCTAAAATGAAATAAAATACTAGCCGTAAAAAAAATCTGTGCATATCTGCCCAGTGAATTGTAAGTGAAATGGCTAACCATGCTGATGTAATATTCTTGAGAGTTGCTGATGCGTTCATCCGCACTGTACATAGCTGATGCAGCCGCTGGGCTGGACTTTTTAAACTCTCCACAACACATGCAAGCAACTTTGGATGAAGCAATCCGTGACTTGTGGGCAATCACTCGCACATGCAAGCATCTAAAAATTATGCCTGTCATCACCAGACATGCTAAGCGTTGTGTATGCTTATCAATGTTAAACATTCCATCATGCAGCATGCACTTTTTCTCTTCCCCCCCCCCCCCCCCCCAATACATTTGCAGTCATGTGTTTTCTTGGAAATACACTTTGAATACAGTGCTCAACTTACATTCTGGAGGTTGTGTTTTCAAATCCTATTGGAGATTAACTCAGCACATCATCCTTACAGAGATACATAAAGTGAGTAGCACGTAATTTATGAATGCGCAATTTTTATCCAAAGGATGGATGAGCACCTACCATGGGAATGTCAAATTTCTGACACTGACTCATAGCCAAAAATTATAGTAAACACCACTCCAGTGATAATTTGAAGAGACACTTTGATTTGATATTATCCAAAGAGATAGATTTCTTTGCACACAAAAATAACGTAACTAGTACTGTTTTATAGGAAGCTGGTTTTATAGATAACCACTTAACACACAATGTGTGTAATTTTCCCAACCTCCTCTCAGCCCTATAGACCAAATCTGAGAAATCACAGCATCCCTATGAAAAGGTTCCATTTTATAAAACAAATAAATAATGGAAGCAAGTAATCAGTGGTGACGCCAGCCTATTTGGGGCTCTAAGCAGACATTATTTTTGCACCCTCACTCCACATATTAATCTATAAAATCCTCGTCAGATGACAACAGAGATATAGACCAGAGATAGTGATGTAGTGTGATAAGAGCAATGTGGACAACGATAATAGAGATGTAGTGAGGTGAGAGACGATAGATGCAGGT